AGGTTCAACAAGGTAAAGATGGTAAATTTGTACTTTTTAACCGAAAAAGAGATACTCCCACAGCAGGGCTTGATACTGAAATATCCTCAGTGGGTTATTTTTATTTGCCTCAAATTTGTTGCTTACAACATGCATCATAAAGGAGCATACATAAATGATCAAACATTATTGTGGCCTCCTTTGAGCTCATGATGTGCTCTGTTCTGTCTTTATACCTTTAAAAGAAAGACGATATTTAAATAACTACTACACTGTAAAATAAATAAATACCTTTTGTAGCTACATCATGTACAACATCAAGTTCTTTTATGTTGGTAAAGCGCTTTCAGCTGTTTGAAGGAAAGTTAATGAGTGTGCTTTAATGTCATTACTGTTGACAGTTTGTTAATTGATAATCAGTCTAGTATGGCTGTATAAATGTCACAATCAAGATTCTGCTGCTTTGACGCTCTTCAAGCCTCATTTGGATCTAACGGTTCAAATGCAAAAGCATATTAAATTGCAGTTAGTGCGCTTAAAGGTGATGCAATTGTCCATTTTATCTGCATTCAGTTACTCTGGTTGATTAAGTGTGTGATGGTGCTTATTTAATAGGCATTTGTACATTGGAAAACCCATTTGAATGATGAGTTCCTTTCTCCTCACAGTACCGCCATGCCTGGTCTGTTTTGACTACTGTTAGCCAACGGCCCAGTGGGAGCAACAGCACAAGGTGATTTTGAGAGTTTAGTGGCTTTATTATGGTGACAACGTAGTGTTGAACGGGCCTGTGGGACATACTATAAACCCCCATGTATTGTAAGATCAAATGGTTTGTTTCAGTGTTTCTTTAGCCTGCAGGATACATAGTGGTTTGCGAGCTACACAGGTTAATAGGTAGCTAGAAGAAATATAGTGCAATAGAATCTAGCTTCAGATACAGAGTGCACATAAACAAACGCACAATATAATTCCATAATGCAGTGTGTAATGCCAAGGAGGTGTGTAATATCAGGAGAGAGTGAATTATGTATACATTAGCATTCCCATTTGTCTAAAGTTGAGCTACTCGGCTGTGCAGGAATGAAGGCTCCATTATTTAGCAGCTGTGGTGCTATTATGAGGGCAAAGGTTCGAATCTGGTTGGCATCATGCAATTTTTCAACCTTCCATCTTGCTATTTTCTGTCTCGCTTCACTTACCTGTCAAATAAAGCCCTGAGGTGCTTTTGTGGCGAAACAGGTTTGAATTAGGTCTGTGTCATATCCAATTGTCCAATTCATAACATTGCCATTTTCTATCTTGCTTAATTTTTCTATTAGCTTTAGGTCAAACCACCCAAAGTTTTAATCTTTTAGGAGCCAGGATGCTTTTGTATAGGGACCAATTCTCACTATTAAGTAGTTGCTTATTAGAATGCCTATTATTAACATATTGGCTGTTTATTAGTACACATAAAGCACATGTTGTAACGGAAGAGGTCTGACGCAACAGGTTAGTATATATCAAAATAGGTTTATTCGGTCACAGAGAGTACTGGGGTAGGGTTCAGAGGATGTGATGGTGAGGGAATCGTTCGAAGGATATGATGAGCGGGGTAATCCGGGTCTTTGGCTTTACCGGAGCTGGAATGCAGACAGGAGGAGCACACACCTCAGCGATCCGTGAACTAGGAGGAACAGGAGACACTTGGAGACAAGGAGACAAGGAGACACTAGGAGGAACACAGGCGGTAAGTAATGCAGGAAGTATTCAAATGGAAGCAGTAGCAAAGTCATTGAGTCCTCTACATGTATATGAGACCGGACAGTGAGGGTGTCTGAGGTGTGTGCTTTTATGCAGGCTGGTAATGAGGTGCTTGATTGGTGACAGGTGCAGGTGCTCAGAACTCAGGTGAGAGGGATCGTTGTGATTGGGTGGTGGCGGAGCCTGGCCGATCTGTTACACATGTTCTGCATGATCATATTCTACATCCCTAATCCTACCCAATACCTAAACTTAACAACTACCTTACTAACTATTCATAAGCAGCAAATTAGGATTTCACTGAGGCAGAAGTCATAGTTAATGGTTTGATAATAGCAAGAATTGGACCTTAAAATAAAGTGTGAACCCTAAAAGTTTCCTTTGTTTTGAAGCTGGGTTTGAATCCAGTCTGCATTATATCAAATTATCCAATTGTTAACATCACCATTACTTGTCTAGCTTCACTTATCAGCCAGAAAGCCCAAAAGCTTCCACCATTTAGGGGGTTGTTGCACTCACAGGAAAATCGTGTTTGAGTCGGGCCTGCAACATATCTGATTCACACTTTTTATTTTGTTTCTGATCAGTCAAAGGCCAAAATGCCTGAAGGTATCTACTATCTAGGAGTTATTGTGCTCATATGGAAAACAATGGCCTACAACATATCCAATTCTCCAATCTTTATTTTTATTTCCTGTCTGTCTTTATTTACCTATCAGTAAAAGACTAAAATGGCTAAAAGTTTCCACTATTTAGAAGTTATGGTGATCATATGGAAAAAACAGGTTCAAGTCTACCCTGCAACATATCCAATTCCTTAATCTTTCATTTTATTTCCTGCCTTTCTATACCCAAAGTCCAAAAAGCTTATAAACAAATACATTTAGACTTAAAATTGATTTAAAGCACACAGCAGTGCAAACACACATTGCTGCACATGATTTTCTGGATAGTATCAAGTATCAAGACAAGGACGGTGCTGCTCATACCATAACTGTCAGCCCTGGTATCCATGCACATTACACAATGCGTTTCATGCCCCGGCATGTGCTGCTGCTCACCATCGATTCCTCTAAAAGGGTCAGCAGCTGAGCCAAGACTGGAAGATTGAATAGAACCTCGTCTGCAGTGGACCTCCACACTGCTCAGAGTCTCATACCGCAATGCCTTTAAAATGTCATTGCCCCGCAACAGATCTCCCCTTCTGATATTTTTACCCTGCGCTAGGATTCCATTTAGCACTGGCAATTCCAGTTTCTTGCTTTGACATCTACATTTGTGACCGCTGATTGGGGACAAGAACAGAACCTCAGGGCTCAGCACGGGGCCAGTGTTTCCATTTGGCGCTCTTTGTTGCGAGATTTGGGGGTGAACACTGGGAGAATTGCCCAGTTTGAGCTTTCTCCACTTATGCTGTGGGAACAGCCTTTTGCTATCGGCTGCGACAGAGAGGAGGGGGTGTGAGAAGATGATTTAGCTTGCTGTTGGAGACAGACTGAGTCTTCTGTATGGGCGGCCAGTACAGAATTACCATCTTTTCCTGTAATCTTTTTATTTTTTTGTTGAGGATGACTGTTTTAATGTGAATAAATGTATGCTTTAGCAATGCATTTCCTGTGAACATACACTATGACAGGTATGACTGATGGGAAAACTTCTGTAATGAATGTGGCTTTGCCCCAAATGTGACAGCACATGAATTTATAATACATTTTTTGTTAAATATCCCCCGTGAGTCTGTTTGAAAGGCAAGAATCTATGTTTTTTTCCTCACAGAACACATTAGCTCAAATTGGACTCCTGTATATAATAATTTAATTGCTTTTTACCCAAAAGCACATTAAAATGGCAAAAAATGTGTGGCTTAACTGCCTTCACTGCTCTGCCTCAAGCGAATACATTTAATCTCATTTACAACATACCGCGGATCTCCATTTACCATCTCTAAACAAACATCTCAATATTTATGGCAGTCTTAAGTGGATTGTTATTTATATTGCCATTTTTTTAATAGGAGGACTCTCATGGCTGATTCAGTCTTGTTTGAATTAAATCATTAATACGTTCTGAATCACTGCAGTTACATTTATGGATTATGTACTTTTTTTTTAATGATGATTGTACAGTCCAAGATTAGAAGGGTTTTGCTTACTTCCAATGCAATATTTATGAACACAAACATGAACTCTTCTAGCATACTGTTCTTGTCAGGGTTTGACAACTGGCATTAAAAAATCTTTATAATCATGCACAGTTTCAGTGCTACAGTGTAAATAAAGCACATTCAGGGCAACACATGTGAGTCATGCCACAAATTCAGGGTCACTGGAGACCTAATTATGTGTTGGCTTGAAGAACGGTGGAAAAATAAACCATTTCAATATGCCAACATGACAGGTAACAGAAATATCACAATGATAGTTTGAAGATAGGTTGACATTCATCAAAAGTGACAGACGCTCACCTATAGTTGTTTTGATGTGATAGCAGGGGCTTGCATAAAGCTTTCCATCTGCAGTTTTGTTTAAAAATTGTGACTTTTGCTATTGAATCGATGTCAGACATCCTTGGGCTTTTCTCACGTCAAATATTACAGTGATAAAAATGTAAATGTTATTTGCTTTACATAGATTTGAATATCCCTGAGCGTCAGATACTGGCTGTGATATATATTGTTGCTAAGCCTTGTGTCAACTCACCATGGACTAGACATATTCAAAGCGGATTGAAAATGATATGGGTTCACAAAAGTGGGCATACAGTACGTACAGCACTAAGCAGCACTAAGCAGCCAGTGACTGTTAACATAGTGCAAGGATATTGTTTATTTACTACACAACATTGTGACAGAGTCATTCATAGCAAAACACTACATGGAGCACTTGTATCAGTCTACCAAGAAAACTGTCAAAGAACAGCGTTAATCTTGTCTACTGTGAACTAATGCACTTTAATATGCGAACAAAGACGACCCAGAAACATTTGTGTCTACATTCTTCACTGTTTTGAATGATTTCTGCAGTATCTTGAGGACTTCTTAATCTCTTGTTGTGTTTGTCGAAATATCTTGTCTCACTTTCTGGGTCTTTCTCTGTCTTTTTGAACTGTGTCCCAGCTGCCATTCTTGATGACCCGATGGAGTGTAGCCGCGGGGAGCGACTGGCCATCACTCTGGCGAAAGACAGCATCAACCGTTCCAGCAACCGCTCCACCACAGGGAAGCTGGAGGTGGACATCTTTGAGCTGCTCCGAGACAGTGAATACGAGACAGGGGAAACTAGTGAGTATTCAAATGTGTTATATCATTTCTGAGATGTATATAATTTTACATACCATATAATTTTTATACCCTATATCTAAATAAATGTAAAATATATATGTATATATATATTTATTATAATTTTTATACATATTTTTTTTACTAATATTTGTATGTATTTTAATAGGCAATATATATTTTATATTCAGTTAAATAATATAATAAATATAACTTTTGCTATGTTTAAAATCATGCATTATGCACAATAACGTCTCGGTTACGTATGTAACCCTCGTTCCCTGAAGGAGGGAACGGAGACGTCTCGTCGGAGGACCGACGAAATTGGGATCTCGCTTAGAGGGACCAATCTACTTCGAGTGGAGTATAAGTAGGCAGCAGATGCAGCGCATATTCAGGTTTTCGCTGAGGAGCCGAGCCGGTGACCCGGCCGCTCAGCGGTGGTACAGGAGCTGTGGCGACGGGACGTGACTTCTCCGTTCCCTCCTTCAGGGAACGAGGGTTACATACGTAACCGAGACGTTCCCTTTCAGTCGGTCACTCTCGACGTCACGTCGGATGACCGACGAATTTGGGATCCTACCAAAAGTCCACAGCTACCGCCCCTTCCAGTGTCCTGTGGAAGCCACCTGCGCCGCTACTTTTTGGCGTAGGCCAGGGCCTGCACAATAGGACCAGCTACTGCTACTATGGCACTACCCACTGAGTAAGACTGGATAACACTGGGGAAACGTACCCGTTCCACTTGGAACAGGGAGGTTACGGAAGCTCCAACCTTCCCGAAGGAGGTTTCGGAAGCAATACACATATGAACATTCCTTAGGTGCATATGGAAGAATGGAGGTGATTGTAACCCTCTTAAATGGCAGAAGTCTGCCGGGTAAAAACGGGCTCAAGGCTATACCGTGGACTTTACACATATGAGAT